TAATCCAGTCGTACTATTTACTATTTTTTAAGTACCACTTTTCTCTTGTTTCCATGGAGATATCAAAAATAGTCTACGGAAACTGAAAGATTGCAAAACAGTATAGAATGAAAGGTAAACATTTTTGACTATATGTAAATGCTGTGATTATTATCGTGTAGACATCTTCAAATGGAATATGTTGGTAATTTCTAAATAAGTGCAACTCATTTCAATACAGCCGCACTAATTATGTCTTTTTTAAGTACCACTTTTCTCTTGTTTCCATGGAGATATCAAAAATAGTCTACGGCAGTTGAAAGATTGCAACACACTATTGAATGAAGGTAGACATTTTTATCTATATTATGCGATTATTATCGTAGATATCTTCGAATGGAATCTTCCCCACATAATCTGATGCTTTTTAATTTTCCGTTACTGATGGCAACAAGTACTATATTTGGCAACAGAAAGATTAAGAAATAAAATATATTTTCTTTCCTGAATAATGTAAATTGGAATTAAATGGAAGGCAACCTGATTCAATTAGACTACAATTGTTCCTTTTGGGTAATACCATGTTCCTTCGTGATAGTTCGCATATGCCGTCTACTTTTTTTTAAGAACATTTCTCAAAAATCTGCAAGACCCTAAGAAAAATCTTGTACTGTCTACATAATTTTGACTAATGAAAGTAGGAACTTATGAAGAAGACGCTTTTGATCTAGAACAAAAACGTCACTATCGCTCTAATTAACTGAAGTGTCATTTTGGCACTTAGGAAACAGAATTGTCGACATTTTACAGTACAGTGCAGTACAGTTTTCGAAAAACCGTATTTTCGACAATGGCAGACAAGGCTATATACATGTAATCCACACCCATGGAACCGTTTTTAAGCAATACGTCGTCCAGGAAAATGACGACGTAAACATCCCAGCTTTACGATCGAGCGACACTGCCAGCGAGAACAAGAAACGGCATTCCCATGGCACATCATGATCATTTCGAATTATAATCCCCGATACGCATAAATCAGAGCTGACACCATCTGCAGAGCAGGGGTTCGTCAGAGCGGATCGCCGCGCAACTAGAGCGTAATCGTGATTGAACTATAAATAGAATAAGTCTTCTTCCTTAGTCGCCGGGCCAGATGGACGATGGACGGCAGATATAAAAGCCATAAGGCACATCGCGACAAGGCTATTGGTGGCGTTCGGCTTCAAGCTGCGCTAATAAAATAATGGTTCATTGATTCACGCGACATTTTAGAGGTAGAGATAGCCATCGTTTCAATCTTTCTAAATTTATTGGATGAAGTAAATAATGCGACTGGAATGTTGAAAAGGTTATTATCCTGTGGGTTACAACAATTATGAAACTGTAACAGTATCTCTGTTAATATAATTTTTTTTACTGACATTTCATTTCTGTGTCTCATTAATTCTGGTATTTTCTGTCTTATTTCTAATACTTAATATCCGGTAGTTAAGGAAGAATGTAATATGCTTTACAAGACATCGGACCGAACATCGCCTAGGTTTTGAAGCGTGCCCAGTAGCAAGGCGATCGAACATCGACCTTTATACTGCCAGAGACAAGTACCTGGTCATTAAGGGCCCCATATTCTTTAAATAGTGTTTTCCGCAAAGACAAATAATTTCAAACATTTAATAACTGAATAATCTAAAGCTTATCAAATAATAGGAATGTTATGTCATGCCATCTGGTTATTTTCAAAGACGCCGCAGTAAAACGAATAAACAGGTGCAAAAAACGATCAAACCATCAAGGTTTTAGGTACTGAAATCTACGAAAATACTAACTTTTTTATATATAATTCCACAT